CGGTGCTGAATCAGAGCAGCAAGAACAACAGATGAAAACTGAGACGCGCAGCTGCTGAGTTTTTGATCACTTTTCATCAGAAAACACAGCAGCTGTTAAATTGTTGTTTTTTAAGCTCTTGTATTTGATTTCAGCCCGAACTGGGAAACACATGCTTGAAATTCTCAAATTTTACACTTATGGATCACAAAAAGGCACTTTATTCAGTCACTACAGGGACCCTCGACGGCCCTTGATAGTCAGCATCTCTATTCCCCGACTGCAGCGCTCCAGATCTCGCTTACTGTGCATAAAGAAGCAGAAACACTCGCTTAGAATATTAACAAGAAGAGGCCTTTTTAGCTCGTGTTTACTGTTCATGTATCATCAAACTTCATGCAGCTTCTCCTGGGAGTTTTGGAGTCTAGTTCTCACAATATTGTGAAGTCTAATTTGTCTTATGGGAGTTCAATGCATCAGAACGAGAATAATATACCATCTTACATGTTTGGGAGTGTGTGAACAAAGTGGTTTACGGTGTTATCCATAGCTTGTAACATTCCTCTTCTTTGTCTTGTCCAAAGGCCTGGAGCAGGACTGAATCTCAGCCGCTGCATAGATCGCTTTGATGTGAGCCTCACTTGCGCAGCTTCACCTCTGAACTCAACTTCTCCATGTGCACTGAAAACCAACTTCTCTTTCCTTCCTTCCTCCCCACACCAGATTTAATCGATCGCATTTTTCGCTGTCAGTGCATTTTTACCCTGTTTTCAAAATGACCTACTTTGTGATCTTTCCCGCTGTGAGAACAGCTCTTCTCTTTTCGTAGCAGGGAGAATAGATAACAACGGGAAAAGGGAAAGCACGGTGAGGGTGAGGCAAAAAAAAAAAGACATGAAAGGAGATATGCCTGCTTGGATTTGCTGCATTTTCACAGCTTAGTGAACACTGCAAGCAAAGGCTGTCTTATAGCAAAATCTCATTCTTCACCAACCAGGGCAGTTGCTGCAAATGGTTTTCAGTGTTGCATTTGATCTTGTCTTTGAGGCTTTTCTTTGCTTCTACAACAGTTAATAGGACACTTTTTGCCAGCCCAGAGGTACAACGGGAAGGATGGAGACGTAGAGTAAAAATGTGCTGTAGATCCAGATGAAAGGAAATTATCTAACTGGTTCTGACTTGTTAGCGTTGACTTTTAGGAATCTAATATCTGCAATTGGAATATCTCCACCAGCATTCATTTTTCACTGAACTAACGTGTCCTGCTGCAAACATTTCAGACCCATCAACACACTTAGCACGCCATCAGAATCGCTTCTTCCCTCTGCATTTCTCTATTATTAATACACCAAGCCTGCAGTTGCAGTTCTACCAAAACTTTTCTACATGGGCTCACTAATGCTAATTATAGAACTGAACTCAAAAGCCTCTCAGGCAGTTTTCACACTTTGAACCAGTCCAGACCTCAGTCACTTTAAACTGGGGCACTTTAAATCACTGTGTGTGGTTTGTTTTTGTTCCAGATGGACATCACTATCCTCTACCTGTAGTATGTATGCATTCCTTATACCTGGAACAAATGATTTTAAGTCTGATGCAGGTATTTGTAATGATCGTTTGTGCTGCCTCATGGCCCGTGCATCTTTCCATTTCCTCTGCAGCAGTGTGAATATAGCACACGGGGGCACGTGAGACATGCGATGCAGCCATGTGAGACACAAAAACGGTGCGACAGTGAGAGGAAGAGAGATGCTGTATCAGGTCTGCTGTTAAATATAAGCCTATTTAGCAAATAAGGAAGAGGAAATGTAAAGGAAATGAAAAGAAAAGTGGAACAGGATGCAAAAATGCAGATTCTGTGTTCTCTCTACTTTTTAATATGCCGTTTTTAAATGCGTAAGTCTCAGAGCAGAGATGAGAAGCTTAAATGTGACATGCAAATTTAAAAAAGTAAGCCTGTAATCTGGAGGAAGGCTATGTATTATGATTGAGAAGGGTAGCACAATTATCAGCGGCTAGCTGTCCCTCAAAGTAACTTATACAGGACTAAACACCTTAAAGCTTTATTTTTTTCAGTGTATTTATGTTTATTAACACCATCTCAACTTTCCACTGTTAAGCTGAAATAAAACGAATCTCCTTGTAAATGTACCTGCATCTCGTGGATATGAAACAAGAGTGATTTATTCACTCGATGATGACATGTAAGCCCCTTGATTAGTCTATGGCTAATGACCCGATGAAACTAAATGTAATATGTAATGGGCTTTGCTGTTTTTATAGCTCTATAGAGTTGAAATGTGTTTTGAAAAATGAAAACAAACTAACATCAAAAACATAAAAACACAAAAGAACATGAAAGCAAAATATGTAAGTATAAAGAAGACATTATAAAAGGTTTTTAAAACTGAGTAATCGATTAAGCTGTTATAAAAGTTCCCAATCACACTTGTTTTATTTCTGTAACGTAGAACATTGTAACAGCAACCGATCTGAAGGGTAAATGGCTGACAACATTGTTTAGATGTAAACAAAAGACTATAAATCATGATTTGTTGGTGAAGGCAGGCATTCCTGTAAACTTTCTGTATGGGCACAAAGAATTCACAGTGCCTGCCTGTAGTGCAGTGCGATTACATTTCTTTATCTTTTGTTATCCTTGTGGTAACCATCATTGCTTACTTCCTTGTTTATTCTGATTCACAGCCGTAATATTTTTTGCTGATATGCAGCTTTAACTAATTGCTGTGCCTCATTGATTTGTGAAAAACTGGTTGTGTGTTGTTTAGCATGAAGCGAATAAATAAATAAATAAATAGATAATGAATGATATCTTTATTAAAACAGTTCTTGTTCAGCTGTACTGTAAACACATATATCAGTAGCTGCTGGAAAGGTACCCGCACATACAAAGGGTGTCAAAACTACAACACAACAAATGCCCAGCCTCACATAAATAATTGAACCATTTTGTATGGAAAAGCCTCTCTGGTGTGCAGCACGTCCATCTTTTCAAGAGAGAATTGGCCTCGTTTGTTTGGTGTGTGTAGAAATCTTTTTTACCCAGAAAACACACAAAATCAATAAGGCATGCACACCATACAATTTTATTGTTATTACTGAGTGTATGTTAGTGAATCTCAAGCATTTAAAATTACTGTGTGTAGCAGGCACACTGCTACTTTCACTTTTCTTCACCCAAAGTGGTGAGGTTGTCTAAAGGTAGAAGATGAAACCAGTGAAGGCTGAAACTAAGAAATAAGAGTTATAATAATATGTATACTTTATTAATTCCCTGCATTTAACCCTTTCACTCAGTGAAGCAGTGGGCAGCCAACAATCCAGCGCCCGGGGAGCAGTGCTCAGGCGTACCTCAGGGTAGCCGTTCAGTGGATTCGAAACCCCGACCTTCCGATCATGGGGCGACCGCTTTACCTACAGTAGCAGTTTAGTACAGTAGCTATTAGAGAGTTTAAGTTATAACGAGCAAGAATGGAAGCTTTTGTCATGAATTTGACACGTTAAGCATTTAAAACTGTGGATGTCATCATTGTGCATTAAATGTTTGTCGTACCTTCATCGTCTGCGCTCATGCACGGCCGGTGGCATTTCTAAATTTGTTTGCACAAAGCCGGGAGGAAAATGACTGATTAAATATT